GCATCCGTGGGCCACCTTTCTGGCGATACTTACACTAGGCTTCCTTTCCTGATATATCTCACAAACTGGAGCTTTTAGATGCAAATGGAAGGGAGAATGGGACCAGCAAAAGCCTTTATTTTTGTTACCTTCTCTCACTCAGTTTTTTCAACTAGGTCCATCCACCTGGAAGCCTCAAAGACCCAGGATCCTGGAATGTTCGGGTCCACAGCACAGTCTAATGGGCTGCACCAGTTTCTCATTTTTTGGCAATGGTTACAAGCTAGTTCTGCAGCCCAGGACACAGTCTAGTCCCCATCCCACCCTCCCTGAAACCCAGGCTTGGTCTCCCTTCATCCCTCCACACCGGCCTTGTTCAGAATGACCTCAGAATGGAACAGCTCATGCCCATTGAGAGGACATTTCCCTGTAGCTCTTGCCAGGGGTTCAGAATAGACTGACCACTTCTGGAGGCTGCCCCTCACTTCTGGACAGGCAGAGTCCACAATGCCATTCATGTGGGAGGTGTTTGTTGAATAAGTGAGGGAAGACAGGCAGGAAAGCAGGAAAGAAAGAAAGCAGGAAGGGAGGGAGGAAGGAAGGAAGGAAGGAAGGAAGGAAGGAAGGAAGGAAGGAAGGAAGGAAGGAAGGAAGGAAGGAAGGAGGGAAAGAAGGGAGGAAGGAAGGAAGAGCTACTGGATGGCTCATCTTTTCCTCTATCTCTCTTCTATCTGTGGTAACTGTGTGTCTCAGCAGAGGTCACTGGATATGGGAAATCCACTAGAAATACAGGAAGCACTCGAGGCTTCCAGGCTTGGGATATTGGGGTGATTCCTACATGGAGCAGAAGGCTGCAGCTAGGGTATGCTAATGTGATGGGGCTCTAAGTCTGCACCTCCTTTCCATAATCATTTAGGGCCTTGCAAGATCAGCCACACTTGGACATCCAGGACCTCCCAAGAAGCCTCTTGTCTTTTGGTCAATCTTTGAAGTGACAGGTGGGCAATCACAGGGAAGAAAAGAGAGGAATTGGCTTAGTCTGTGCGTATGTGAGAACACACATAGAGCTGTGTGACTCTGGGCACTGGGCAAGTCTCCCTCCCCCCTCAGTTTTCTAATATGTAAAATGAGATGATCTCTAAGTGGGGGAAGAGGTAGGAAAGGAGAGGGAAGAAGAGAGGAAGAGACAAAAGATAAAGACAGAGAGGGGGTGGGAAGGGAGAAGAAAGATTCTAACACACTGTGTGGATGCTGTGTGGCAAGTCTTTGGGAGAACCTGGCTAGTATGGATATGTTATAGGAGGGAATCTCTGAATCCATGAGTATTGAAGCTTTTCACCATAGTCTAGCAGATCACTCCCCAACTCTAATCCTCTGGGTCTAGGATCATCTCCCTCCAAGCTCACATGAGGACCAAATCAGACAATGTCTGTAAAGTACTTTGCAAACTTAGAATCTCTGGAAATCTGAGTCCATTCCTTGTCATGGTCATGTGAGGGAATGCTGGTTCACCCATCATCCATCAGTCCAAACTGTCTCTTTTTCCTTTTCCTAGACCCCATATCATTTCTGCTTTAATTGATGGCTTTGGTTTTTACCACACACTTTTTACAACCTGACACATTTGGGTTTTTTCTTACATGTTTTTATTCTTAACTTAAAATACAAAGAGCAGTTTTCTATAATCTGTAGAATAGATTTCTATGTGAAACTACATATCTCAATTAAAGTTTGTTTTTCTTTTAAGTCTAAAATTCACTGCCTAACTTCCAAAGCTGACCTATTTGTCATGATTACCTCCTGCTTCCCTTCTATTCTCTTCTTATTTGGGAGAAAGTACTCTATCTCCACCTCCCTTTTCCTCCTACTTCTTCCTCTCCCAAAATTGAAAAAATAAAAACAAACCCCTTGTAATAATAATAATAATAATAATAATTAAACAAAACAAATTCCCACATCAGCTGTGTCTGAAAGTAGACATCCCTTTCTGCATCTTAAGTCTGTCCTTTCTTTGTCCAGTGGTAAGCAGCATGTTTCACCGTTGGTCCTCTGGAATCACGGTTGTTCATTTTACTGATTAGAGTTCTTAAGTCTTTCAAAGTTTTATTCTTTCCAAGATTGTTATTATTTGTACAAATTGTCCTCTTAGTTCCGCTCACATTACTATACATACAAGTCTTCTCATGTTTCTCTGAAATCACCCCTTTCATCATTTCTCAGGACATAATAGTGTTCTTTTACATTCATAGACCATAATTTGTTGACCAATCCCCAGTTAATAGTCATCCACTTAGTTTCCAATTCTTTGCCACTACAAAAAGAGCTATTACAAGGACTCTTGTACATTTGGGTCCTTTTCCTTTCTCTCTTTTTTTTTCAGATTCTCTGGGGTTTGAGCCTAGCAGTAGTATTATTGGGTCAAAAGGTCTGGACAGTTTAGTAACTTTTTAGGTATTAGCTCCAAATTGATTCTTAGAATGGCTGCACCAATTCACAGCTCTATCATTATGTCAATAACCATAATGTATATAACAATAGATTAATAAGCCTGTTTTCCCACAGCGACTCCAGCATTTGTCATTTTCTTCTTTTTGTCATGTTAGCCAATCTGATAAGTATGAGGTGGAACCTCAGAGTTGCTTTAATTTTCATTTCTGCAGTTATTAGTGATGCAGAATCTTTTTAATATAAAGCACATTCATTTACAAATACACTCCCTTCAGTTCCTATCCAGGAAGCTATCCCTTATAAGAAAAGTTAAAAAAGAAAGTGGGAATAAATTGCTTAGCAAAATTAGCCAACGTGTTGACCTCCTCCATCTGTTTATATCAATATTCCACATCCATAGTTCCCCCCAGTGCATAGAAGGAGAAAGATCCATTTTCTCAACTCTTCTTCAGGGCCACGCTTGGTCCTTATAAATACATAGCACCTATTTCACCCTTCCTTCCTTCCCAAACTTTTCTGAATTCATAGTCTCTGATGGCCCAGTAAGTAGTCCTATTATAGTCATGTGCCAGTTTGTTTAGTCACCTTCCAATGAACAATCTTCTACTTTGACAAATTCTCTTGACAAATCTTTTTGTTTGTTTGTTTTGGGGGGGGCTGGGCAATGGGGTTAAGTGACTTGCCCAAGGTCACACAGCTAGTAAGTATCAAGTGTCTGAGGTCAGATTTGAACTCAGGTCCTCCTGACTCCAGAGCTGGTACTCTACTCTATCCACTGTGCCACCTAGCTGTCCCCTCTCAACAATTTTTTAGAAAAATAATTTTTTATTGTAACTTTTTATAGTACTATCATTCCTCAGGACCACCTGCTCCTAATAGAACTCTTTCTCATAACAGATAAGCCAGACTGACCACCACACTGACCATGTTCAACCATGTAAGCTTTATTCTGCTCCTGTCTGAAAGGACAGGATCATATGGTCAAAGATTTAGATCTTGAAGGGACCCCTCCCATTGGTCATGTGGTACAATCTACCCATTTTGCAGATGAGATAACTGAGTCAAGATCAGTCCGAATTCTGATGTCTTTTAATTCAACAGACATTTTTGCATCACCCCCTCCCAATCTTTGTAAAGATAATTGATGTTCATCCTGAACTGGCACCATGATTTATCAGCAAAAGATTGATTTTAGGACTCAACATGGTTCTGGTATTAGGTCTATATGCTTCATAATGGGTTGAAACTTCACACACAAAAAACCAGTCTGTTAACACTCCATGGGAAGTAAGTGACATTTGGAGTCGGCAAACATGGGTTCAAATCGCAGCTCTACCATTTTCTCCATGTGGGACTTGGACAAGTCCCTTCATCCTTTTGGGCCTCAGTTTCCTCCGCTGTACAGTGAGAGAGTAGGGTTAGATCCCTGCTAAGATCCCTTCCAACACTAGATCTCTGACCCTACAAACTCTAAACTCAATCTGTTATTGATGACCCCAAAGGTCTTAGGGATTTTCTGGAAGTTTTTCTTGGCATGGGGCTTGGGGTTGGCCACACATCTCTATATCTAGCTATTTAAGTTATGGATATTTAAGTTACAAATAGATAGATAGAGAATGCCCCGTGCCAATCACTTTCCAGGCATGCTCTCTCCGTTAAGCAGAGTATCCATTCTGGATGACAGAGCCCTGTGCTGGGATGGAGTCAGAGGGAGCTAGAATGCCTTTGTTTCCCTCCCCCAGATTTCCCAGCCAGCTCATATGCACCCAGGATTGAGAACAGTTGGGAAACCTCAAATGAGTGCCGTGCTTCCCTTTGTTCCAGTCCCAAGCCTGCTGCTGCCCGAGATTGGCTGGGCCTCCCCTCTCCAGGTTCTGCCTTCTCTCTGACCTGACAAGCAGGATTGAGGCCCCTCTCCTGCTCCCCAGGCTACTCTGGGCTCCTAGGATGGAGGGATTCCAAGCATTGTCTCCAGCTAGAGTTGTGACTGGCAAGATGGCTCATCGGCCCCCTCTTCCTGGCACCTGATTTTTCTCCTCCTCATGGTCCTGTCCCTCTCTTTGCCTCTTGGATCACCTGGCCCCAGTCAGCCCCCTAGGGTCTATACATTCTCACCTGTTACCCATTTGTTCATCACACCTCCTATGGATATTTCCTCCCTCTTTTCACCCTTTATCTCATTCAATTCATCCTTGGGATGCCTGATTTCAAGGGTATGGGCACCTCTCTAGTGCAGAGGGCAGCCCCTCAGAACCCCAGTTTTCAGTCTATGTGAGTGTTCCACCTACAGGCAAGGCAGTAGTGAGTATTCACTTAGGTAGCCTGGTCCTCCCACAATGGACACCAGGCTGTCTTTGAGCCCCACACTCAAAGCCCTTCCACTTCAGTAGGAGCTGTGAGTGCTATCCTTCACAAGCTTCTTCTCAATGAGGAGGCCCTGAAGGAAGGCCTCCTTGGAGGTTCTAATGCACACAGTAGGCCCTTAATGAGCACTTTGTGAATTGAGTAAAACCTCCCCACCTTCACTCCCCAGGCCTGTGCAAGGATAAGGGCTGGGAAGCAAAGGGATTTGTTGTTAACTTTGACCCACCTAGATAGGAGTCAATTTATCAAACCAATTTTCAGAAAAAGGTCTAGGGACCTGAATGGACCACAAGATCAATGAGAGTCAACTGTGAGCTATAGCAGCCCACAAAGCTGAGGCCATCTAGAGGCAGAGCATCCAGGGCACAAGAGATGGTGGCCCTACTATGCTCTGACCTGGCGGGGTCCAGGAGATGGTGGCCCTACTATCCTCTGACCTGGCGGGGTCCAGGAGATGGTGGCCCTACTATCCTCTGACCTGGCGGGGACCAGGAGATGGTGGCCCTACTATCCTCTGACCTGGCGGGGTCCAGGAGATGGTGGCCCTACTATGCTCTGACCTGGCGGGGTCCAGGAGATGGTAGCCCTACTATGCTCTGAACTGGCGGATTCCTTCGTCAGTTTTGGGGGTTCCATTTTGGGAAGGGCATTGAGAAGCTGGTGTTTGCAGAAAGGAGGCCAAGGAGGAAGATGAAAGGCTTCCAGGTCATTCCAGAGGAGGATTTGCCGAAGGAGCTGGGGGTGTTCGTACTGCAGAAGACAAGACTGAAGGAGGTTGCGGTCCTTTTCCCAGGTATTTGGAAGGCTGTCACTGGGGGAGGGATTCTGTTGTTCTGCTTGTCCCGAGGGTAGTGGGAGGAGTGGGAGAAAGGCAGGGCTGGGCTCCTCCTCCTCTCTCCCTGGGGCCCGGCCCCTTGCCAATGGGGAGGGACTTCAGGAGCTGCCTAGTAAATCCACATCTGAACAACCGTCCTTTACAATGTGCTGATTGTACAAGTGCAAAGAAGAATCCTAGCAGCAGGACCAAGGTCACACAAGGAGTCAGGGGCCCTCCAGCATGGGCTTGCAGCCCTCCGGGCACAGGCAGCTCACTTTCTCCCTGCCTGCTGCTGTTTTGGCTGCTCCAGATCACCGTGCCTGGGGACCGGCTGTGTGCGGTTAGGGAAGCAGGAGTTCTAGACAACCCCAGCACCTTCCAACAGGTCACAGCGTTTGTATGGTCTCAGCCCCTGGCTGCATGAACCCTCTTGGCCAGCCACAGCTTGAATCCTCTGTCCTATCCGAGGTGGCTGACCTGCTGCTGAGGGACACCCCCAGCCACCGAGAAAGGACCAGGTGAGGTACCCTAGATGGCCACTGGGGTCCCCTCTGACCCTCGAATTCTACAATTTGGAGATTCTGTGGTCAAGAAATGGATGCTGGAGTGTCACTGCTCCCCTGATTCGAAGTCCAGGAGGCAGAGGTTTGCCCGCACCAGGCTTGGGTCTTGGTGGGCAGAGGGTCAAGATGAAGGTGCGGGAGTGATGTCTTGTCCTCTCACTATTTCTCGGGCAATGGCTGTGTCATTGTGGCCCTGGTCCTTTCCAAGGCTGGCTGGGATGCAGTCAGGGTTTGTCTTGATTTAAGAGGTTGAGGGTGGAGATGACGACTCTACCCTTTCCCCATCATCCTTCTCTTCCTCCCATGGGTTTCAGTACGCAGTGTTCTCATTCCCTCATACTCACTGCCCCATCCAGGCAACCAGTGGAAGCATCGATGTGCCCCCTCCCCTGACAGCTTCCATAGAACAGTCTTAGGCAAAGAGGTGTAGCTCTAGGCTGTGACTGGGAGGGAGGGGAGGAGGGAGTGGAAACAGCCCTGGCTTAGGGGTCAGATGACTAGGTTTAGCCTTAAAGCCCTTCTCACTCCCACTACAGACTAGCTCTCCCAACTGACTTCATAAATAGCTCATGGGAGCTGCAAAGGGCCTTCATGGTCATCTAATTGACTTCCCCTCATTTTACAAATAGGGATAGTGAGGCTAACGTTGGTTGTGACTGGACCAAGGTTACATATACAAAGAGTAAGTGACAGGGCTGGGATTTGAACCCAGGTTGTGTGGCTTCTAGATAAGCAATCCCAATCACTTCCCCTTTCACGGAAAGGGATGATTTGGTGAAGGGAATTATTGCTTGATTCTTCAGCATAGGGCCCCATCTAGATGGTACATAGCACACAAATGCAGAGAGGTGAGAGTTACTGCTCTCCGTCCTGGTCCCACCCCCTCCAGAACTGGGGTCAGACCTGGGAACAGGACCTGGGGAAGGGGATTAAGGAGCCAGAGTCAGGCAAGAGGGCAACCAGGATGGATAGGCCATGGAGACAACTCCATCCCAGATCAGATGAAGGAGCCACGGAGACTTATCCTGGAGAAGAGAAGCCTTGGGGGGACTGGCAGAACCTTCAAACATCTGGAGGGCTTTCACACCAGGAAGGAAGGGGGAGGTGGGGCTTCAGAACCAGGCTGGAGGGGTGGAGGGAGTAGCCAAGAGGCCAAGGGAGGCTTGGTGTCAGGCACCTAATGGTGGCATGGGCTCCCTTTGAAGGGAGCAAGCTTGCCAACACAGAAGTTCTTTAGCACAGGCTGTGTTCCCCTTTGGAGAGGTGGCTGCAGAGGGGGTGCCCACCGGACTAGACACCTGCCACAGACCCTTCCACCTCTGAGGTTCCAGGAGGCAGTCAGACTGAGATGGGGGGAATGACCAGAGCACCAAACTAAGTCATGAAAAAATGAGAAAAGAGGTTAACCTCAGAGATCATGGTGACCACCCCAAGCAGTGACGTCTGGAATCAAGAAGACCTGAATTCAAGTCCAGCCTCAGACACTTACTAGCTGCCTGACCCTGAGAAAGTCACTTAACCTCTCCTTGCCTCATTTTCCTCAACTGTAGAATGGGGATAATGACACCTATCTCCCAGAGTGGTTATGAGGATCACATGAGATCAAAGTTATAAAGCACTTAGCACATGAACTCCCGGGGCAGAGGCGCATCTATTTTGTGTCACATTCTGCTAGAAGAGACACCTAGAAGAGACAGCTGGTGGTACACTAGAGAGAGCCTTGGGCCTGGAGTCAGGAAGACCTGAATTAAAATCCAGCCTCACACATCTATAGGTCAGACTGTGTGACAGGTTACTTATCCTCTGTTTAGCTCAGTTTCCTCATCTGTAAAATGGGATAATAAACAGCATTGGCAATGCAGGGTTGTTGTAAGGATTCAGTGAAATAACATTTGTAAAGAGCTTAACATAGAGCCTGGCACATCCTAGGTGCATAATAAATGCTTGTTTATTTAAATGTCTAATCCTAACCCCCATTTTACAAATAGGGAAACTGAGACACATAGCAGGCTCATTCTCATTTTCCTTATTTTCTACAGAAGGGTAAAGTGTTAAAGACAGCCATTCCTAAGAGTATCACGTTGAGGCAACTGAGGGCTGGGGGAGAGGGTACATTGCAGGGGAACCAGGTGGTTGGAACTGCAGGGATACGGTCAGAGGGAATCGGAGGAAATACCCTCCCCTAGTAGTTTAGGGTTTGTTTGGTTTTTTTTTTAAAGAGAGAGAGAAGAGAGAGAAGAGAGAGGGGAGAGAGGGGAGAGAGAGAGAGAGAGAGAGAGAGAGAGAGAGAGAGAGAGAGAGAGAGAGAGAGAGAGAGATGAAGAGAGAGAGAGAGACAGAGACAGAGAGAGACAGAGAGAGAGAGAGAGAAGAAAATCATGGAAGCCCTTAGCATGTCTAGGCCAAAGGGAGGTTTATTCTTGGAAGGTTTGGGGAAGAGAGGTGGCATGGAATAGTCCTTTCCTTTCTACACATATCACCCCCTCCTTGGAGCTGCAGCCTGCCCTTTGGTCACCCCGCCCCGACCCCTCCCCTTTCTTAGCACAGTGCGGGGCGTGTAGAGGGTTCTTTTAAATTGTTCACTGACTGACTTTCCAGCCAGTCCCCAGTGCTCACTCATAGCTCTAAGTATGTAGTCTCCTAAGAACAACCATTAAAAAGCTCCGATTTCACAAAGCGCTTACCTCACAATAATTTATCTCCTCATTTTACAGATGAGGAAACTGAGGCCCAAAGAAGGGAAGTCACCTGCCCAGAGCCACACTGTGAGTTCATCCTTTGAGCCAGGATTCTGGACTCCCATTCTATGCTCCTTCCAGGACCTCCCTTCACAGCCCATTGGTCTTTAGAGAGGCAGACATTATATAGATTTGCAGCAATAGGTCCCATGTGTTAGCAGGGCTTAAGATGGGACAGTGTGACTGGTGTGAACCATATGAAGAAAGAGGTCACGGACATGGGGTAGTGAGCCTGGCTGACCTTATCTGGGGGGAGGGGCTGGCACAGGACAAGAATTCATTCCAGGTAGAACAAAGCTGGGCTGTGTGTGTGTGATGAAATTCCCTGGCCCTTTAAAGGGGTCCCCAGAGCAGCTGGGGAGGCAAGGTGGAGGCACCCAAGCCTTTGGCTGATGTTCAGACATCAATTGTAGGCCTTGTGACCATGTGGGCTGGGCAAGGCAGAGGGAGAGTGGGTAGGATGGGGGCTGGGCAGAGATGGGGCTCGGGGCCTTCTTCACTGACGTCCCAGGCCAGACCAGACCAGAGCCAGCTCTGGGCAGATGCCAGGGAGGTATCCTGTGCCCACCCTCTTGTGTCCTCGGTGGGAGACCCACTCTGCTCCTATGGATTCTCTTTGGGTCTTTGGTTTCAAGGAGGGTGAGTGTAGGGCTGAAATTCTGGAGGAGAGGGCAGGGATGGGATCAGGGGCACAAGTAAGGGGCCAGCCCCCGTAAGGAGAATTATCCTCTGACCCTGGAATAAAGTAGAGAACTAGGTGAATTGAAGTGTGAACTTGGGAAGTGGCTATCTTGACAGATAGCCTTGAGACACGGTCCTTTGCAGAGAGGAAGCAGAGAACGGTGGAGGTGGCTTGGGAAGGAGGGGATTTGAAATAGATACTGAAGGGAGCCCAGTAGAGTCCATCAGGAATCACGAAACTGAATTATCCCGGAAAGGTCAGCCTGGGGCTCCAGCGTGTTTGTTGAGGGCCTTAAAGGCAGTCATCGGTCCGCGTGCCTGGCCCGAGCCCCTTTTTGCTTTTGGGCTGGGCCTGTGATTGATTTCTCCATTGCAGGGGACCCTCCTCTGGAGTGGCAATCTCCTCCACGTGACCCAGATCCTCGGTTTGTCTGTAATTTGGAGTCTTAGTGATCTGCTGGGGACACGAAGATGCTAACGACAGTATACGCCTCATACATACTTGTGGGATTTGGATTGCCTTGGGCTGGCAAAAATACATGGTAAACAGACACCTGGCTTCCTGACTCACTCAGGTCGCAGCCCTCAGAAAGGAGTGGGCTGAGAAAAACTCCTCCTGGGCTGGGGAATTTGGTTTGTCTTTTGGCTTTGTTTGTTTGTTTGTTTTTTCCTCTGCTGAGGTTTATTATAGAAAGAAGTAACCTTCTGAATAACGCCAAGCCCCTGAGAAGCGCTCTGGAGCTGAATCACAACCTGTCCAACTGAATATTAAAGGTTTACCTAGAGTGCAATGGGAAAGGGGCTGGGGAGGGGGAAGTGAAGCAAAGTGTGACTTGGCCCTCCCTTTTCTGTACCTGCCCAAATCATACTGCAGTGACGGGTCTGCCCTGAGAGTGCCTTAGGGGAGTCCTCACAACAATGGAAGTGGGAGTGCCTGAGCTCCCACTTAGGTAAATCCAAGCAAGAGGTAAGGCAGGAGGCAGAGGAGATCTTGAGTGGGGTCCTTTGCCTCTGTCTGTGTGAAATTCTTCTGCTTTACCATCTAATAAGGGTCCTGGGACCAGAAGGGGCAAGATGGAGAAGTCCTGGACATGGTTTACTGATGTAGACCAATCCAGGAAAAGGCCCTGGAGCAAAGAGGAGATGGAGATACGGTTGCAGAGGGGAGAGAGCTACCGCTTCGAGAGAACCTCTCTGGAGCCAAAGAGACAGCCAGGATTCAAACCCAGGTCCTTCAACTCCATACCCGGGACCCTTTCCATAGCATATTATCTAGAACAAGTAACAGATTTATTTCTTATTTCTCTAGCCTTATTCCCTTCATTTCTTTTACTTGTCTTATCACTATAGCTAGTCTTCCTAGAAATATATCAAATACTACTGGTGACTAGGTGGTACAGTGGATATAGCACTGGGCCTAGAGTTAGGAAGACCTGAGTTCAAATCCAGATTAACACAATTACTAGCTAAATGACCCTGGGCCAGTCACTTAGCCTCTCTCTGCCTCAGCTTTCTCAGCTATAAAATGGGGATGATAACAATAGCACTTACCATCCAAGATTGTTGTGAGGATCACATGGGATAACATTTGTGAAGTGCTTAACACAGTACCTAGCCCATAGTAGGTGCTTAATAAATGAGAGCCATTATTATTGCGATTACTATTAATGGACATTCTTGCTTTATTCCTTCTCTTATTGGAAAGGTCTTCAGTCTTTCTCCAGTATGTGTAATGAATGTTTCCTTTTGGTTTTAGATGGATACTTTTTATCCTGTTACATCAAGGCGCTGATATTCCTGTGCTTTCTAGTGCTTTTAACAGACACTTTTCCAGTATTTATTGATACCATAATGTGATTTTTCTTGGGAAGATGTATGTGAACTGATGCAAAGTGAAGTGAGCAGAACCAGGAGAATAATTCACACAGCAAACAGTAATATTGTAAAGATGATCAACTGTAAAAGACTCAGTAATTCTGATCAACACAATAATCCACCACAACTCCAAAGGATTCATGATGAAAAAGGCTATGCACCTCCAAACAGAGAACTGATGGACTCAGAATGTGATTGAAGCATTTTTTTCTTTGAACACGGCTAACGTGGAAATTTATTTTGTATGACTTTATATTTGAAATCGGTTTTGTATTTCTTGCTTTCTCAATGGGTGGGGAAGAGGGCCGAAGCAGAGAATCTGGAACTGAAAATAAAATAAATTTTAGTGGAAAAAATAATAATGTGGTTTTTATTATTTTTGTTATTAAGTGGTCCATTGTGTTTACAGTTTTCCTTACATTAAATTATCCCTACATTTCTGGTATAAATTCAACCTGGTCATATTGCATGATCTTTCTAATATGTATTTGTAGCCTTCATACTAATATTTTATTTCGTATTTTTCCATCAATGTTCACTGGGGATACTGGTCTATAGTTTTCCTTCTCTGCATTTGTTCTCTCTGTTTTGGGTATCAAGATCATTTTTGAATGATAGAAGATTTTTAGAAGAATCCTTTCCTTTTCTATTTTTGCAAATGGTTTAAGGAAAATTGGAATTAATTACTTTGTGAATGTTTTGGTAGAATTCACTTGTAAAGCCATCTGTTCCTAAAGTTTTTTTTTTCCTTTGAGAGTTTGTTTCTGGCTTGTTTGACTTCTTTTTCTGATATTGGGTTATTTAAATAACCTATTTTGGTTTTGTCAACATGGGCATTTTATTTTTTGTAAATATTCATCCATTTTACCTAAGTTATGGCATATAATTTGACAAAATAGTTTCTGCTAATTTCCTTTATTTAATCTTCATTTGTTGTGAATTCTCCTTTTTCTCTTTTAATACAAGAATATGGTTTTTCTCATTCTTTTTTATATCAGATTAGCTAACTATAATTTATTAGTTTCCCATCCCCAAAAAAAACCTTGACACTACTCTTATTTATCGATTTGGTTGGGTTTTCTCCTTTAAATATTGTTACTTTTCTAAGATTTTCAAAATGTGTTTAGTTGATGGTTTTTATTTCTTTTCTAGTGTTTTTAGTTGAATCCCCAATTCACTGATCTGTTCTTTCTCTGTTTTGTTGATAAAAGAGTTTAGAGATATAAATTTCCCCAAAGGGCTACTGGAGTTGTATTCCCAAAATGTGCTAAGTTGTCTCGTTGTTGTTATTTTCATTGATGTAATTTTCTTTTGTTTTTATGATTGCTCTTTGACTCACCAGTTCTTTAGGACTATTATCTAGCCTCCAATTAATTTTATCCCTTTCTTCAAAGGACTTTCATTAAATATAATTTTATCACATTGTGGTCAGCAAAGGGTATGTTTAACATTTCTGCTGTGGTTTCTAGGTCCCAAATCTGCTCCCTTTTTATGAAGGAGGCTTTTTCCTTCGAATCCTATGGTCTCTCCACCCTACTCAGAAGCTCTATGCCATGGAGATAACCCAAAGTGTCTGGAATCTCTGTACTGGGAAGCATGGGCACTGGGGAGGGTATCATAATGATGTAATGATGGTATTAGCTTCCACAATCCACTAAATGAAGAAGCCCTGGGAATGCTCAAAAAATCATCACTCTGACAGAGTAAGACCAGAAGCAAGAGCTCAAAGCTCTTTTCCCCATTGTTGGGGAGGTCAAATATCAACCAGCCTCCAATTCCTCAGGAATCTTCTCTCCCTCTACTAGCATAAATCAGCACCAGTTCTCAAGCCTAGGCTCCCCATTTCCGCCCTGCCCTACCCATGCCTGGTCCTACTAGACCCAAATAAGAACCTTATAATCTGTCCTCCCCCCTCCCAACTTTACTGGACTGAGGAGAGAGCACACCATTCCCTCCGGGGTTCCACCAGGGCACCAAGAACACCTGCCCTGTTTGCTCATTTTCCCTGACTGCCCTCCATCTTGGGAATATCTCTCCCCTCCAGAAAACTGACTTACTCTGCTGTCTGCTTCTACAATCCATGTTTTCTTGTACTTGACTTTTGGAATTCTAAACCTTCCTGAGTCTGAGTTAAGACAGTTGGGTCCTGGGCACACCCCTGAGCCAGGGCAATGTCTGACTGCCCAAGCCAGCAATTGGGAAGCCATGGAGTTTGTGACTTCCTCCTTCCTCATGCCTCTAACATCATCTTTCTCCCTTGCTTTGCTTCAATGGAGAGAACGTAGAACTAAAGGGTACATGATCACAGACCTAGAGCTGTCAGGGACAGAAAGCTCATCTGATCCAACTCCTCCCAATTTACAGATGAGAAAACTGAGTTCCAGAAAGCTTAATTGATTTGCCCAGGGTCCCAGAGGTAGGGAGTGGGAGAGCCAAGACTGGAGCCCTGAGACTCCAACCCCAAATATGGAGTTCTTTGATCTGAGCTTAAATATGTTTTTTTCACAGGCCCAAACCACTTAATTCTTTCTTCAGTCAAAAGGATTTGAGTGACTCCCTCTTGGTGATTCAGGTGATTATTCATTCACTCGACTAACATTTAGTAAATAATAGCTCTGTGCCAGCAGTCTTGCTGGCTGCTAAAGATATGAGCCCCTGACCTCAGCGAGCTTTTATTCTACTGGGTCACGGGGCCAGTGAGATGCAAATAAATAAACACAAAAATATTGACAAAGTAAAGACATTTCAAAAGGAGACACCAGAAAGTGGGCAGATCAGGAAAGGTCTTGTGGAATAGGTGGCACTTGATTGGCGCTTTGAAGGAAGTGAGTGAAGGATCCTAAAAGGTGGCTGTGAGGAAGTATAGGGGAGTACTTGTACAAAGGCAGGATGGAAGGCTGTGGGTGAGGGAAGAGCAAGGCGATTAATCTGGGTGGGTGGGTTGAGTGGAAGTAACGTATAATAAAAATGAAAAGCCATTGAAGTCAGGTGGTGATGGCTTTAAATGCCAGAGAGTCTGTATCAGACACTAGAAGCAACAGGGAGCCCATGGGGCCTCTTGAGCAGTGACATGGTGAGACTTGCTTTAGAAATGTCACTTGTCAGGGTGAAGAACGAATTGGGGAAGGGTAAGACTGGAGGACAGAGACCAAGTGGGAGGCTACTGCAACATTTTGGGTAATTGGTGATGAGGTGCCCAACTTGGATGGTTGTGATGCAAAAGGAGAGAAGGGGAGGGCTGTATGCAAGAGATGGAGAGAGTCAGCTTGGATGTGTGGGATGACAGACAGCAGGATCCAAAGGGCAGTCTCAGGTTTTGAATATGGAAGGATGAGGATGACTTCAATAGAAATAGGAGAGTCAAGGAGACCCTTTGGGAGAGCAGATAAGGAGTTCTGTACAGGACATCTGACCTGGGAGTGCCTCCAGGAGGTGCTGTCCAGGTGGAAATGTCCCACACCAGGCAGTTGGTGCTGTGGTGTAGGAACTCAGGGATGAGACTGGAACTGGACTCACAGACCTGGAAGTCATCTGCATAGATTAGCACAGGGATGCCTCCCCCTTTCTCAGCTCCTGGGTGTCCCCAGGACCTGTTCCCCAGGTTCTCCAGAGAGCTGAAATCACAAGTAGAGAGAGCAGGATGCATGCCTCCTGCCCCGACTATCACTGCAATATCCATCTGTCTATCCCTTTCTCTCCATACCAGCTGCCACCCCCTTGAGGGGAAGAAAAGTATGGTCTGGAGAGCCCTGGGGGTCCCTGAAGCCCTTTCAGGGAGTCTGGAAGGTTAAAGTTATTTAACCTAATAATACTGAGATATTTTAATTTATAGTATGCCATAACAATAGACACTACCTACATAAATAAAAGTTGTTTGGAGGTGGGATCTTCAATAATTTTTAAGAGTGTGAAGAAGTCCTGAGACCAAAATGTTTGAGAACCCCTGCTTTTATTAAAGTCCTTGGTGACACCTGGTTGAGATATCCTTATCAGTCTTTCTTCAGGATTCACCTCAGAAGTCATGCCCTGCACAAAATCCTTTTCCTCACTACCAACAACCTAACCACTTTCTTGAAGAAAACTGGGTTCAGGGACAAACTCTCTTCCCTTTCAACAGGATTGAGGCAGTGACCAGACGATGTCAAGGACCCCTTGTCGGAGCCCCCTTAGAGGCATCTTTCTCTTTCCCTCTCTCTCAGCTAGAATTAGGGCGATGCTCAGAGGACGAGAAGGAAGACATCTTCGAATACTTCGGATAATGAACTTCTTGAGTTCATTTTTTACCTTGAGGTCCAGCCCTCTCATCTGAGTCCCAGAGAGGGAAGTGATTTGCCCAGGGTCACAAAGAATTCAGGATAACCTGTATTCAACCCCAGTGATTCTGATTTTCAGATGCTTATAATGTTATGGTCTCCAGCCTTCTCTACCTTCCTCTGGACAAACTCAGGTTTGCGACTTGGAACAGAATACAGTACTGCATGGGGCCTGATGAGGTAGAGAACAGCAAGATTAGATATAGAGACCCAGGAGTCACCTGTGTAAAGATGACAATTAAACCCAAGGGAACTATAGAAGCAGATTCTGCAGAACTCTGCACGCCCTTATTCTGCTCTGCATGTGCTTCCAAATGCAGCCTTAGAGACCATGGGTGGTTTAGGCCTCCATAAAAGCATGAGGTAGGGGAAGGAGCCCTAAATGATGAATCACAGAATCACAGAGTGAGGACACGTAGAGCTCATCCAGCTTAGGGCCTAATCATGTCTCTGGCTAGATTTCCACTCCCACCACCCAAAGGAGGTGATAAATTATAAATGAAGTGAGAGGTGCAAACATGCTCTGTGATATTTGGAGGACAGTTGCTATAGAGACCCAAGGTAAGGATATGAAAACAGGAGCCCTCTCTCTGCGCCACCCACAATGTCACACCCACACCCTAGAATTCACAGAGATGTTTTTCAGGTAATTCAGATGCAAAGAACTTATCATCAAGGCCCCTCTAGTCATTGAACATACCCCCATTTCATGTTTTCCAAACCAGTGATCAGTAGGGCTCTTTGGAAG